TGGAACCCATTGGGTCCTCCAGTCTCTGGCTTCAGTGCAAATAGGGGGCCTTGCTGCACCCCCTCATCTTGGGATCTCTAAGGCCAACTCCCATCTGGCAATTTCTATCAGATGCTCCTTTCTTCTCTAAAGGAGGAGTGTGGACATCTATTATTTGCAAGCCAGGGGGCCCAAACTGTAACTGCTAATAAAGTCAGTCTGTGGGTTGGCTTGTCTCTTCAATCCATCCAAGATGACTTGCTTCTGAATATCTCGTAGCAGAAGCTCTCACGTATTCAGGTGGTACCTGGATGCCAAGATCACTGTGCACTTCAAACCCAGGGCCTGGCCTCTCATTTGAGTATTGAATATTCATTAAGGTTTCCAAAAATTTTGCATTATTCAGCTACATTTTAAAAATATTTTTGCATTTTTAAGCAAGATTTATTTATTTTTATTGGGAAGTCAGATACACAGAGTGGAGGAAAGACAGGAAGATCTTCTATCTGTTGATTCACTCCCCAAGTGGCCATAATGTCTGCAGCTCAGCTGATCTGAAGCTAGAAGCCAGAAGCATCCTCCGGGTCTCCCACACGAGTGCAGGGTCCCAAGGCCTTGGGTTATCCTTGACTACTTTCCCCAGGCCACAAGCAGGGAGCTGGATGGAAAGAGGGGCTGCTGGGGCACTAACCGGCACCCACACAAGATTCTGGTGTGCATAAGGTGAGGACTTTAGCCACTAGGCTACCACATTAGGCCCATTTTTTGCATTTTTAAATGTTATTTATACTTGCTACTTCTTTGTTCACCCAACAGTGAATGATATATTTTATATATACATTTGCAGGTAAGCATGTGACTCCTCATGAAGGAGAAAACTTTTTTTCTTTAAAACACATATTTTTAAAATGTATTTGAGAGGCAAGGAGACAGAAGGAAGAGAGATCCCATCAACTGGTTCATTCCCCAGATGCCTCCAACAGCCAGGAGCAGAGTGAGGGCGCAGTTGGGAGCTAGAACATAGCCCAAGTCTCTCACCTGGGTTGCAGCAACACAAATACTTGAGCCATCCCCATGGCTGCCCTTAATCTGCATTAACAGGCAGCTGGATTCAGAAGTCAGAATGAGCACTCAAACCCAGGCACTCCAACCAACCAGACACTCAACCACTAAGCCAACCTCCAACCCTGCATTTCTCTCTTAACTCTCTGGGTCTAGATAACCCTCTGGAAGCCCAGCACAGCCACACCTCTGATGCGACAGAACATCCGTGACATCCACCCCATAGTTTCTGCAAAGTGATCAGCTACCATAAAAACAGACTTCAAAGGCACCATGACCATCTCACTGTCTACTGTCTTACATTCTCTATACTCAACTTTGAGATTCTGGCCTCCTGAAATTCAAACTCACAGGAATTATCCTTGGCAGTTCTCAGCTTGGCAGAGATGTCTGATGCTTTGGGCTGCCTAGTGTTACATAGCAACAGGTAGTCACAGACAAGCAGGGGCTTACTCAGAGTGGGCTGCTTTCTGTAATCAGTTAACTTGGCTGGGCTCTCAGACACTCGACTTTCCAATTAACAATCAGAAATAGAACTGTAACCATAGGAAGGAAGAAAACTCAATTTTCCCCAGCACATAGTTAATAAAAGTTTCCTCTAATCTTGATATCATTTGTGCGCTTCCCGTAGAACATAAACATCAATTTGTAAATCAGTGTATCTACAGAGGTCTGTCCACTTGAAAAAATTTCGTGTGAAATTTGACTGGATCATACACCATGCATCCTTAAAAAAAAATTAGTTTAAAATTGGAAATGAAGCACCCCAAACTGTTGACTAATTTCCTCATACTAGTCCAGTGAAAGATCTTAACTGTGTGGCATAGCTTCTAATCTCAAGAAAGTAGCAGAGAGAAAAAAATCCTTTTATTTTACCTCTTAGCTATTCCTTAGGTTAAAGGAAAAAGTAGATCCCCATTGACACCCATTTTCACTTTCCATGGTTTCAGGTATCACAGTCATGCAGTTTGAAAATATTAAATGGAGAATTGCAGAAATAAGTAATTTCTAAATTACATTTGTCACAGCATATTGTTACAAGTGTTCTATTTTATAATTAGCTATTGTAGTCCATCTCTCCTTGCACCTGACTTATAAACTGAACATCATCAAAGTGGATGTTTGAGGCAGTCCCGAAGGCATGGCTTGAGACTTCTGTATCAGAGTATCTGGCTCAAATCTGAGCTTTGCTTCTGACCCAGCTTTCCTGCTAAAGTGCACCCTGGCAAGCAGATGATGACTCACGAGAGTTTCTGTAAGCCCCATGGGAGACCCAGCTTGAGTCTCAGCGCCTGACTTTTGCCTGGCCCAGCCCTGGCTGTTGCAGGCCTTAGGGGGAGTAAACTCGTAAGCCAGAGATCTCTGTCTCTGTGACTGCCTAACTGGCTCTGTCTCTCTTTCAAATAAAAATGCATAAAAAGACAAATAAGCATGTTTTTTTTAATCAAATATTATTATAACGTATGCACGGGCTTCAGCACCATCCACAGTTCCAGGAAAATACCGGGCGTCTCAGAAGGCTTCCCTGTCGGATAAGAGGGAAAACAGCTGGACTTTTTTCATTCAGTTCTTCATTGCAAAAAGGTTATTCCCAATCAAGACGGAAGACCTTAAAGGAAAGCGAGCAGGGCAGGAGACAACATGGATGGCACTCAGAACAATCCCTACAACAAAGCCTTGGGGTATCAACCAAAGGGCGTGGAAAGCAGCTCCAAGTCACTTCATGGGCGTTTAGGGAGCACATTCTCACTCTAGCTCCCTTGTTCAGACACCTAACAACCTGTAGAAAGAGATCATGCTGAATCTTCCTAACATTTTCCTTCTTGCAAGAACACTGATCCATCTGTGGTTAGAAGTAGTTCTAACCACTTCAAATCTTACACAAGGTGACCCTTCACCTTATGGCTTTGGGAGGAAAACATATCTGTTTCCATGCCATGTATCTAGTCTTGGCACTAACTTAGAACTTTGGCAGGTGATCTGACCAGCTGCTAGAGCGTAGTAGTACAACGCTCAACAGGCACATCACCTGAATGGATCGCACTGCACTGGATTACTTCCTCCAAACCAGAACCTCAACCGGATAGGGACTATCCTGTATATTTCTTTGACTAAGTATTGTGGGGAACTTTTTTTTTCCGGGCAAAAGACAGTTGTCACTTTTAAAACAAGCTTTTGTTTCCACATCATGATGTAGCGACAGATGTCCTTTTGAATATGTAAATATGCCATCCATCCAACTACTGCTGAACTCCACAGTACACAAACTCAATAGAAGTTAACACACACATGTCGAAGGGCCATTGCTATCCACAAATATTAAATTTGAAGCATCTCATTATCATCTAGGAAATGATTTCATACTTCAGTGTCTCAAATCACATCATCCAAAAGGATTAAGATGAATATTTTCCTTACAGAGCATCTTTCCTGAAATCTCATTTTGGTGCCACTCGAGCCTCCTCTACTTGCAATACTGGGTGCACTGTAAACTTTGAAATGGAGCTACACGCTCTACAACCTCATCATGAGAAGGGGAGGCAGGAGTCACTCTCTGTTGGATGAGAGTTTGAGCTATTGTAATGTGAGTGCTTATGCTCTGGGAGAAAGAAATTAGGGCTGAGTGACCACCTTGATTTGATGAGAGAAAAAACAGATTACCCAATATTACTGCCGAGTTCCTTTGACAGAGGTGGATGGTTCAAATATATAAAAATGCATTGACTTGAATAGCATCTGTGAAAACATTCAACAACATGTATACTGTTGCTAGACACTCATCTGTGTATGAGGAGTTCAGTACTATAGCATAGTGGAGGAAAATGGGGGCTACAATAAGGAAGTAATGATTATACAAGACTTCATCTGTAGCAAATCATGTTCCCCTGAAATTCCAGTGTGTTTTGAATCAACATCAAAGAAGAATATTCTTAACCCCACCAACTGGCAAATACAGGAATTTCAACTGCTCTAATATAATGACTCTGAGTAAATCACTGTTAATGTCTTCCTTTCTGACCCGCTAGTCAACCAGAAACCCAGTCCCAATCACCAATGAAATTACAGATTATGGAGGAGTCTCTCCACTGCATTTCTTGCTTTCACCCTCCAAGCACAGCAAATTCTAAACTAAAAACAGCTTTGGATTCATAGTCACATTTCAAATAAGTGTCTAAAAATCATCTTTAAGACACAGTTAAGTGAAGATGGGATATGATTTGACAAGTATTATGATTGATCTAACTTTTCCTTCCTAAAAGCCACACCTTCCAACTTAACAGACAATTCTGTTTTGACCTGTTGTAGAGGGAATGAGACAGCGAGGAGACAAGGCAGGAAAACAATTCAAAATGAATGAATTCCAAATGATAGCCCACTTTCCGTACATTTAATAGGTATCACATTTAAATCCTAGTAAAGAACTATTCACTCATCTTAGAAACAGCCTAATTGTTGTAATATTCCATTATTGAATTCTCTATACAATTTCTTATTGTTACTCCAATTGGGAATTACTTGCAGAACCATTTCAACTGTTTATGAAGAGAACCATTTTTGACTGCTTTTGGAGAATATAAAATAAACATGCAAGCATACAAAGGTTTCAACCGAAAAACGTATATATAGCTATTTTGATCAATTAGGCAAAGAACTTGGAGTGCTATGAGGACCTATTTAAGCCTAGGGTCTAACTTAGAAAGCAGCCATGATTTCCAACAATAGGTAGTAATATTCAGGAACAGAAGTGTGCATTTCATAAATCAGCTAATAGATCCACACAAACTCATACACACAACACAGGAATTTAAGCCAAGTAATCTATCTGATCATTCCTTGAATTTCCTGCAATCATGAGACACTGTGGTTACTATGTTCATCATAATCCATGAAGCAAGCAATTCCAGTTGGCTTGCCAGCAAAATCACCAGCATGTGAATATTTTAGAAAAAGCCAAGTACCTGAGAGTTTCATGAGAAGTTCAGATGCCGCTTTCACTGACATATCCTGCCGCAGCATGCTCCCCTTCTCCTCCTGTGACTTAAGTGTGTCCTGAGAGATGTTTGGGGTGGGTGCTTCTGGCTCCGGGCTGAACACATAGCTGGGCCGTGGCAAGGTCGTGCTTAGGGGCTCCTCTTCCTTGGGCTCCTCTTTCACTTTAAAATTAAGATTCAGGGGCTCCTTCTGATTTGCAGCTGTCAACAGAAAAAAGGGATTATATATATGCAAAAGGCCACGCCTCCTCTGCACTGCCCCATACTTAATAAAGTATGGAATGTATCATCACATTGTACCAATGGTTGCAAGGACCACAGCCTGGTCAAGCAGACTGGACCCTGGGCACAACACACGTAACATACTCCATGAGCAAAGCATTTTTATGAGCATGGGCTTCGAGGCCATCGAAGCTTCTGGATTTGAAGAAGTGCTGCCTCCACAACGACTCTGGCTGCTTTCTCTTTGGTTTTCCCCAAGGTCTTCTTTCCTGGGGATGCCACTGCCTGCCTTGCTTTCCAGCACTCTTCCATCTAATCCAAGCACACCACAGGCCACGGTGCTTTTAGGCAATTACGCTGATTTACAAATAGTGGATAAAAACAGGAAGCAGAGGCAAAGCCTGGGGTAGGGTGGGGTGGAGAGTTGAGGACGGAGATTCTGCCAGAGTCAAAAGCCCAAAAGAGAGATTCCATTCCTGCTCCATTGTCAGCCGACACTGTTGACCCACAAACAGCAGGGCAGGTAGTCACACCACTTTTCTGGTCACAGGGTCTAAATCCAGATCCATAAGCCCACATCACTACCAAAAGTCCTTACTGAACTTTTAATTATTTTTTTAAAGAAAATTTTTAATTTTTAAATTTATGGAGAAGTTGCCAGGATGACTCAGTTTCCATGTATCTTTCACCCAGCATTCCCTAAGGTTAACATCTCTCCCAACCACAGGGCATCTGTCAGAAGTAAGAAATGCACATTAGCATGATCGAAACTCCAGATTTGATTCAGATTTCACCAGTTTTTCCACTAATGTCTTTTTTCCATTTTTAGCAGAGTTGGTGCGGTCAGGGCAGAGCTGCTTATTATGGGATGGATTCTGTGGCTGGGCTGCAGTGTGCCAGGCCTTTTTCACTGGGTTACACACTACCCAGGAAAGATGGAGAAAGAAGACCCGGCACCCTTCTCTTGCCACCCTTGATATTCAACCGGCCTTTTTCTCCCCTTCTGGGTCAACACAGTAGACACCTTAGCTTGGTTATGTCAGGTGTGTGTGTCTTTTAAGAAGGATGATCCCATCCTGTGTAGAATTCCTAACAACTCTTAGCTAAAGTCAGCCTAACATCCCTTGTATTCCCAGAGCAAACGTCTCTCATGCCTTTCTCCCACCTCCTCCAAGAAAAACTAACAAGCATCAGATCCTTCTGTCTACCCTCTGCCCCTCTAATAATGCATGTTTTGGGATCTCACAGGCCAGCATAGGGGGAAACTTCAAAAACCTGGTGGAAAACGGAATTAAAATGTTTGCTCTGGTTAAAAGAACTTTGAACCATATGTATCCAACAGGTGCACAAATGTTCATGGAAAAATGTGCATTATGGAAAAAAAATTATCATGGATTTAAATATTTTGCAACAGAATACATTTATCTTAATTTTCCATGAACTTTTTGAGTATCCTCATATTTGAAAACTGGAAAGCACAGGAACTTTAACTATCAGAAAAAATGGGGGGCTGGTTACTGTGGCATAGCACATAAAGCCACAGACTGTGATGCAAGTCCCATAAGGGCATCATTTGTTCGTATCCCGGCTGCCCCACTTCCAATATACCTCCCTGATAATGTGCTTGAGAAAGCAATAGAAGACGCCAAATGCTTGGGACCCTGCACCCATGCATGAATCCCAGATGAAGCTCCGGCTTTGGTCTGGCCCAGCCCCGGCTGTTGCAGCCACTTGGGGAACAAACCAATGGATAGTAATTTCTTTATCTGTTCTTCCCTCTCTCTGGAACACTTTCAAGTAGATAAATAATTTTTTTTTAAAGAAAGATGTAGCAGTAAATCTAGAACCTAAATCCATGAGTCCCTGCCTTGGGTCCCTTTCCTTTTTCCCTCATACTGCTCCTCCACTTCTGGTCCCTGTGTTGTGATGAAATTTGAATGGAACTTGACTCTCAAGCTTTTGCTCAAATGTCACCTGCTCAATGAAACCTGTTCTGCACCTGGTACTCAAAAGTGTAGCCCTTACCCCTGCTATATATGCAATTTCTCTTATCTTGTAGAATTTTCTCCCTTCCTCCCTCCAAAAAAGCCACTTATTACTGAATAACAAACATTGTTAGACACTGAATTGTGTTCCTCAGCATTCATCTGCTGAAGCCTTAAACCTTCTTTTTAAAATATGTATTTTCTCTTTATCAGAAAGACAGATTTTCAAAGAGGAGGAGAGATGGAGAGAAAGATCTTCCAGCTGCTGGTTCACTCCCCAAGCGGCCACAAAGACTGGAACTGAGTCGATCCGAAGCCAGGAGCTTCTTCTGGGTCTCACACGAGGGTGTAGGGGCCTAAGGCTTTGGGCCAACCTCGACTGCTTTCCCAGGCCACAAGCTGAGAGATGGATGGGAGGTGGAGCAGCTGGAACATGAACTGGCAGCCATATGGGATCCTAGTGCTTGCAAGGTGAGGATTTAGCCACTGAGCCATTACACTGGGCCATGAAGCCTTAAACTTTCAACGTGAATATACTTGTGGTTGGGCTCTGAAGGAGGAAATTCGGGGAAAATGATGTGGGGCTATAATGTAGCTGGTTCCTTACAACAGGGGAAGGATGAGAGAAGTTGGGGTAGAGAGAGAAAGAGCATGTTCGTGCACTGAAGAAAGTTCATGTGTGGGCTCAGCGAGAAAGCTGCAAGCCGAGAAGAGGGGCCTGAGGAGACTCTAAATCAGATGACACCTTGAACTTGGCTTCAAATCTCCCAAACTGTGAGAAATACGTTTCTGTAGTTGAAGCCACCCAGTCCATAGTCTGTTATTGCCCTAACCAATCAGTCACATACGACATAATCTTAAAGTTTGCCACGTAATTATTCGTGGTCTGTTTCTTCAACTCCAGGCAGGCTCCACCAAGGCAATGGTCTTTATTTTGACACTGTTGTAATTCTGGTGTCTAGGTCAGGACCTGCCACATGGTAGGTGCCCAATATATACATTTATTCCACAAATAAAAACATGCTGGCTTCCAACCACTGACATCTCATGGGGTAACCATTATTAGCAGTGGTTAACAAAACCCACAAACTCCAAAACATCCCATCCAAAGTGACACCAAGTGTGTTCCCTGGGTCTCCTCAAAGGACCGGGGATAAAAGTTGGGATAAAGTCTTCTGGACCACAAATAGCTTACTTGAACTCCAGCATCACCAACAGACAAATCCAGAAACCTGAGAGCAAATGTTAAAAATCTAACTCTCCGAGGACAATGCCAGCAGAACATAAACCAAAGGGCACAACACTAGTCTCTAGAACAATCTTCAAATATGTACTTCAACCTCTGCTAGGGAGTGTGTCCCCAAGAGGACTGTTGTTTGCAAATACATCTTAACCCTTTGCACCTGTCACCCCCTTGTTGGGAGTTTGGACTCTTACTCTGTGTTTCTTCCAGAACCCTGTGCAAAAGCTTTTGGTTGGAGTATCCCAGCCAGCTACAAAGGAGTAGTGAAACAATGTGTATTTATTAAGTTCCTGACTTTAACACTTCAGGAAAGAATAATTCAAATTGAATGCACTCTGCATTCGTAAAATGCTTCTGTGCACTTTCTTTTTTGAGAATGCTCAGATTAGAAAAGATATAAGAAACTATTCAGACCCTAAAAGCAAACTCAAGCTTCTAGAATGGACAACCGTGAAGCAGCTCTCCGAACCTGAAAGTGGTTTCCTGCAGCATTAGCCAGAATGTAGACGTACATGTGACTTAAGGAAAAAAGACGTTTAGCATTGTTAGCATCTGCATTTAACAGAACAATGTAGCCATTTTTAAAAAGCAATACTCAAGCTGTATGTTGCTAGAAAAATTTGCAAGGCCTTACGTACCTGGTTTTCATTCTGACAATACCAAGAAAGCCATAAAATTGCAATGTGCTGAGAAAATGTAAACAAGAGCTAAGGACATAATAGAAAAACATGTGGGAAACACTCACTTGCTCAACGTATAACTTCCCAAACATTTGGAGCTGAATAAAAAATGTAAAAATAGGAATGATGAAGGCTAACCTTTCTTTCAATTACCAGAAATATTTACATAAAGAATAGTACATAAAGGCTGCATTTTGTAATTAATATGACTGAATAATTGCCAGCTTCATAATTATCCTACTTAAGGAAAAAACCCACATGTGCAGACAAAGGTGGAATTAAAGTTGTGTTCTTTTTCTTTGGGGAAATTGCTATAAGAAGAGCAACAGCGGATGACTCACCGCACGGTCTTCACTTTGTTCCTGCCACTAACACAAAAAGATGTGTGCACATATGGAACCCAACTCAGGATGCTCTTGCACAGCACCTGCCTTGACTTCTGTTTATGTCTCTTAAAGTTGCCAGATACTGCACATGCTAATGCGGTGAGGAAGTCCCACCAATCAAAAGCCTGTTTGTTCCAAAGTCCATGGCCTCCCTCGAGGGAACCAAGCCACTCTGATTATAAATTATGTATATCCATGAGTTCATAAAGTGGATGGAGCTGGAGTGCCATTTAAAGACAACAGATTCACTTTTTCTTTTGAGGGTTTGCAAAGGCTTCAAGACACAGGGGAGAGTGGAAAAGGAATGAGAAAGCCATTCATATAAAATGATTCCAAGTTTCCGATTCTCATAGTCAGGTATTATGAATGATCTGGAAAAGAAGTTCATCCTTCCAGCAAGGTGTCATCAGTTCATGTAGCAATTGCATCTATCCTCCACTCCCTTTTGGAAACAAAACTTCCTGGAAGTCCGTGACTTGTTTGAGTAACACATTTCATTGGTTGCACAGGGAGACTTGAATCTTCATATCACCCTGGGAGATAGGTCTACTGCCACCTTCACTTTACAGGAGGGGAAAACTGAGGTCTCAAAGACGTTAACAGACTGACACTCCCCTTTCCCAATCACAGAGCTAACATGCAGTGACATTAGCCTGTACAGCTGCCAGCTGAAAAAAGCATCCAA